TGAATTGTGTTGATTAGAAAATATCTAGAAAATCTACTTGCATTTGACAATTAAATTATCTGAAGCTAGGAGTGTAACAATGTCAGTTTTACAAGTTAGATGTTTTATTTGCAACCGATTTGGTTCAGGTGTAATATTTGCATGTGTTTTGAATCAGGCACAGTTTTGGAGGATATTAAAATATGAACTTTGGGAAAAAATTGGAAATATTAACTGTTACAGTACAGATCAGTCAACACATTTTGAATGAATGAAAAAAATAGATGTATCTATTGAGCTCATTTTTTTCCCCTTAATTTAACCTGCTTTCTAAAAGTTGATCCCGGTTGTGTATTTCCACAATTTTCTGCTTTGCAAACCATCTTCCAGTGTTACATGTATTTGTAATTCAAAGCGAGATGTGTTGTGCCTTGATTACTGTGATATATAAATAGAAAGTCTTTTCCTCCTTGAATGGAATATCTAAATAACTTATCTCGGAAGACATAACATGGGAAAGTTCCAGAGTTTGAGTTGGACTTCATTCAGAATTTGAGAGTGATGACAACTTGTTTTAGAAGTGGATGCTCTGGGAAAGTGTGTGTCTATTCTTGTAGAAACAAGAAAGCAAATGAATATTGGTCTATGTTATGAATAAACTCTGCAATTCCACATTTTCTTTGGAGAGAAGCCAGGTCTCAGCCCCTGCAGGGCAGTTGCAAATTTTCTTTGGGTAAGTAGGCTATCAGCCACTCCTAAAAATAGGAAAATTATGGCTATAAATTATTGCAATATGGTAAATATGAATAATTTTACTATAATTGTGAGGTTTGCAATACTTTAGAATTAAAGTTATTTTATTTAAGATTTGTTGATACTGCCTGTTCACCTTTTGGAACTGCATTTCAAATGAACTTAAAATGTTGGAAGAAAAGCTCTAACCTAATCTACTGCTGTAAAGGTCAGAAGTGAAGTGAGTTTAGATGGTCTTTACACCATCCCAAGTGCGTTGAACTCTTTATGTTGCCGTTGTCAGATCTCACGATACATGGCCTCTCCAAAATTAACTTGGTACCTTTGAGAATCTGTGTCCTTCCATCCAAAGAAAGCACTCTCACTTCTGAAAGAGGGGTGTCATTTTTTTAAATAGGACTCAATTAAAAATCAGCTTAGGTTCCAGTAATACATCATAAAGGAGGACTTGTCTGCTCTGAATTTCCCCATGATGATGGGCTGCTCCTCTATCTGAACAATTTTCATTCTTTGAAACAATGTACAAAACCTCCCTTTTCAGCAATTTCTCTTCTTGACTCTTCGGCATCTGGATTGAGGATGAGTTGCTTCCACTCTGGTTTGCGAGGTTCTGAAATTGAAGAGTGGAAAATGCCTTTGAGTGGTTTTAACTGTGTTCCATCTACTACATGTTTTTAACACAGCAGGGCCTTGGTCTAGTGGCAAGGAGGTGTCAAGATATTTGGAGGCCATGCCGGAGGAAGGAGGACAACTTCTTCAAGGTGGGCACCCTTAGAACAGGCTTCACAGTGGGGTTATAACTTACTCAGAGATAGCAAGAACTGCAGATGGTGGAGCCAGAGATAATGCAATGTGGAGCTGGAGGAGTACAGCAGGCCAGGCAGCATCAGAGGCAAAACATCGACTTTCCTGCTCCTCTGATGCTGCTGGGCCTGCTGTGTTCCTCCATCTCCACACTGTGTTATCTCTGACTCCAGCATCTGCAGTTCTTACCATTTCCAATTAGAGACCATGTTCTGTAGTGAAACATTGGCATGTCCTTCATATGATCATCTGTGGATTTGTGACCCACCTCACTGGCTATAGAGAGGGCTCACTACTGTCCAGTTTTCCACATTGTAGCTCTGGCTTTGGGATGCTGGACTTGCTGCTACTAACCCACACTGCATCTTTCCTGTTCTGAAGCTGAGAAACCAGACAAACAAATAACCACATAAAAGCTTAACAGGAGATTGATATCTCTCATTCGCAGTAGCAGAAAGAGCAGTAATCTGAACAAAAATACTTTAAGTATCACAAAGGAGCAACAAAGCAGGAAGTATTCCTGACCTTACATACAAGAAAATGTGTTTTATTTTAAACAAATAGAAAATTAAGTATCAGCCAAATAACTTTTTTTTCTATCAAATGGTCCAATCTTAAATGTTGACCAGTTTTAGCTGGGAAGGTCAACAAACAAATGAATTTCAGCAAGTCGTCTAGTAAAAAGAAAGCTAAGTTTCACCCCTTTAGTTAAGGGAAGTGTTATTAGTGCGGTGTGGACTTGTATAGTATGTGTGCAGCTCTGTTGAGGATATCGATTTTTGATTTGTATTGCACATTGCTGTAAGTGTGATGGATTTGGGCTGCCACTTGTTTTTCTGACAAGGCCAACAATTATGTTGTTGTTAAACACCGGAGGTTAAAGATTGGTTAGACAGAGACCAGGCATATTGTTTCTAGTCAGAGTTATTATTTGAACTCTCGTAACACTAACTCCAACCCCACTGATTACTTGTTCCCAATAAAGTCACCATAGTCTTACCAGACTATAGATCTGCTCTCTCATTACAAGGATGACTGGTGGTGGTTTAACCTAAGAGTCACCACGTCTCTGGTGAGGGGAGAGGTTGAGGAGGAGAGTCATGTGACTCCAGACCCACAGCAATGTGGTTGACTCTTAACTGCCCTCTGAGCAATTGGGGATGAGTAATTAATGCTGGCCCAGCTAACGACACCCTCATTCCATGACTGAATAAAAAAACATCCAAAGTTGTAGGTTAATATCTAAAAGGAAAGCGTGTGTTAAGCTAAACAAACATGAGATCATGGTCAAACATAACAATGGATGTCAGCCATCTGCAGTACATGATTGAGACTTTTAAAGAGATTTGACTTGTGTGCTGGATGGTAACAGTCTGGTGAGTTTTTGAAGATATGCGTAAACTGAACTTCAAATCAGTGATTTTATACCTGAAAACTGATTTGACACTCTTCTCTTCTAAATTTATAGTGCAATATGTTGATGTGTGATTATAGATTTTGTTGATGTAAAATAACGAATTGAAAGAGATTTCAACAAAATGAACCAAATTCTGGCTAAGTCTGAATGTAAATTTTTATTTATTTCATTTTACACGTCTATTGGCATCAACCACAGATATTGTTCGTTACACAAAAGTGCTTATAGAGAGTAGAAAACTTTGTAGCTTTAAACTGAAGCAGCGAAACATTTTGTTGATACCTGCACTAGAGAAAGCAAGTGAACATAACTTAAAGATAAAATGGTTTTTAACATCCTTCACCAAACTTAATTCATAGGCACTTTCCATTTCAATACAAGAAGCAGATGCTTTGGATGATTTCTTGGTGAAAGGCTTAGGAATTTGCAGGAGCTGCATTTCATAGTTAAATAATGCAGTTCAAAATCAAAGTGAATGGGGAGCATAAAGTTTTATGTACTAATCTCACTTACTCCCATTTCTCTACATAAGCTACAATTTTAGGACTATGGGCCCTTGTGACACAGTAGTGGTGTCTCTCCAAGAGGCCTGGGTTCAAAACCCACCTGCTCCAGAGGTGTGTAATGATGTGGACTGAGGTGGACAAAGTCAGTGTTCACACAACACCAGGTTATGGTCCAACAGGTTTACTTGGATTCACACAAGCAGACGAAGGGGCTGCACCCCGAAAGCTTGTGTGATTCCAAATAAACCTGTTGCACTATAACCTGGCGTTGTGTGAGGTGCGTAATAATATCCCTGAACAGGTCAATTTAGAAAATGTCTATACCTTTAGGACTGAATTCTCTTCCAAAAAGAAATTAGAAATTTGAGTAGTTGGGAACTAGTTTGCAGAGTTGCAGACAAAGCAATTAACATTCCAAACTTAGAAAAACTGGATTCAGTTGTAGATCTGTGTAGTGGGTGAGTTTGGATTGAGTTAAAATTTCACCTTTAATACTATATAAAAATGTGTAAAAATGCAACAGTATCTATGAAACTTTCATGTCCCATACAGTTATATTGGATGTGATTTAAGGAAAAAAAAAATACAGCTTTGTGGTAATTATACCTGTTTCTTTTTAAGTCTTAGTCAAGATCATTTGCTCTAGGGAGAAAATTG